TGAGAGAGCCCAGGCCATGCATATTTGGTTGTATATATTTTGAATTTGCTTGGTGTGGCAAGATTTACCGGGTAGTGTCTTTGAATACATTTACTCTAACTGGCAGTAGTCAGAATATCTTGTTATATTTTTGCTGCCATATATATTCATAATCATAACTTGATTTAATAAGACTAAATTCAATGAAAGTTCACTATGGGTAAGCACAATGAAAAGTGGGGGAAAACTATGACTTGTAGACATCATCCAAACCATTGAAGATTGAATATTGTATTTTTATTTCTACTCAAATCATTGTAAAATATTGTAAAATATTTTCGCTTGGAATTAATTTTTGCTTTTTTCCCTATATTTTACATTCAAATTCATCAAAAAACACTGAAAATATATTCCATACAAAACACCCAAAAAGTCTTTTCAGCGAAAATTAATTCCAGCTAAAATTTTACAGTAGATACAGTGCCAACCTTTAAATCCTATACTGTACTTATCCGGGTAAGAGCCCATGCCTGGACAAACGCCCACCCCCCACTTTTGACACAATAAAGAAGTTGAGGTCATATCCGGACACATGCCCAGGGGGTCTTTTTCTACACAAAAAATACCAAAAATGTATTTTCTATTCGTTGACTGTGGTTGTATTAACAGTTGACTTTCTTGAAGTCTGTCGTAATGCTTATAAAAAATCTTTAAATATAATTGTTAATTGCGTAAAACAAGGGGTGAACGCGAAATAGCTGTGACAGCTTTCTGCCTTCAGGGCAGCGCGTTCACTGCTGATTTTTTTTCAAAATCATAACAGTCAGCAAGTCTATAAAAATATATAATAAAGCAGAAACTGTAGATCTTTTTTTGAAATATGTTGTGGCCCTAAAAAAGGCCGGCTGTTTGGTTTGTGCTTCCTTAGAAACGATTCAAGCAAATCGTATAAAGAGAACCGCTAAGCAAGTGTTGCACTCGTTCGGCTTTAGCGTCGTCGAGAATGAAACCAATGTTGCAATATTGTAGCAACCCGTACCTGGGAGAGTGGCTGAAATCACGTTATTTTGGCTTTATAAAATATTTGGTAGCAGCATGGAACTACAGTCAAACCTATGTTAATGGCCACCTGGATACAGCGACCACCTGCCTATAGCGGTCACATCCAAACAGTCCCTACAAAATTTACATGTAAAGTACCCTGTATATAGCGGCCACCTGTCTAACGTGGCCAACGGCCAGGCTTCAGCGGCCGTTGCGATCAGTTGCACTGCATATAACGGCATAGTTCACGGATGTCTTGCAGAGTACTGCCTTAAATCTCGGCCAACTAATAAACTCCAAAGATCACAAGGGAAAAAGTAAGCACGCTTTCACACCTTTCATTCAACCTATGGTTTCGGCAATTATGTTTTATTCAGTTTACCACGTCCAGCACACCGTACCGATGGTCTGGGAAGGCCAAACAAATACATGTAATTAAGAATTTGAAAGTGTCCTGATAAAAACATGCTGTCATTAATGTTTTGTCAAAATATGTATACCACAGGAATAACTTGGACAGAAGCGCTTTGTACCAGGGGTTTTGTTCTATGAATCGAGCAACCACGATGACGACCAGGGGTGAATCGGAATGCCGACGGTAAATCCCTGATCGAATTGATTACCAACAAAAAAACATAATAACTCACTTGTTATTTAGTATCGATATTTATTCACTTTGAACTCCTATAAATATCGAAAAATACGCAAGTAACTGGAACTGAGAGCAAAAGGAAAAAAATCAACGCAACGGCCATGACTGTTGTTTTTCCATCCAAATAAATTATGCTAATTAGCCTGCGTATGTGCGTTCTTGTTCTTCCGGGGTTATGATTACTCCGGTGAAAAGTAGAGTCGTTTCCGTTACTGTGTATCAATCACTGTAAGGGAATATGTGTGCAGTATTGTTCTGTTGTCCAATTAAATTCGTTCAACTTTTTTTTTTTTCGGTCACTACTGCCTCGATACATGCTTTTAACAATGTTAAATTGACCTCAGTTCGCCAGTCAAAAACGCCATGCATATTCACATGTTTCCATTGTTGCAACAGTACAATAACTTGGAAGTCGACCAGATTTCGATTGCCCAAAGTAATGTTTTGAGGGATCAATCATTTCGCAAGTGAGGTAGGTTAGGACGATTTTCGAAGTTGTCACGTAACTGGATAACTACAATAGATAAATGTTCTTTTTGTATACATTGTAGGGATCAATAAAGCGCAGTGTTCTCCACGGTTTGAAAATTAAACAGGGCACGCCAATGTAAACCGGGCGTGGCACATTTGTAACACATCATTGGCATGGATGTTGAAAAAATCTATCAATCTATATATTACATATGCATATATTTATTATTACAAAATAAATGAGAACTTTGAAGAATATTAAGTAAACGTCAGCACATACAATCAGCTGATTTTAGCTTCACGATTCATCACGTGGCGACATCAGTTGTTTACCAGTAATGATCGCATCCAGAAAAAGACGTTACAAGTTTGGCAATTTATTTTACCAATTAGATACATAATGCTTTATTTAATTTTTAGCAAAAAATTGTGATTAATAATTATTTGGACGAAGCAAAATAAAATTGATGTCGCACAAGCGTTCGTAATTGATTCATTAAAAAACTTGCAGATGATCAAACGAAATAAAATCTACACAATAGAAGATTTTCGATCTGCAGTTATCAGTTACTATCAAAAATAATAGAATTATGTATAAAAACAAAACAAAATACATACTTAAAAGAATAATTTTCATTCAAATCGAAAGTTTGTTCATGGCCGTTTTACCAGGGGTTTTAAATAGTGGTTTAAAGAAAATTCAACTTAAATTTCAGTGACATTAGTCAAAATATAAACATTTACATGTTCAAGCAAGCATTTATGTGGACTTCTTGGTGATGAGCAATGTCTGATGGTACATCGGCTGCGCTGGTCGTTTACCGATCATGCAAGTGCATGGCTGTCTTTGTTCTGCTCGGCGGTGACGATTTTGCCGCTTCAAGTCAAGGCGTGAACTTGATTTTAATCATCGACCTTAATTTTTAACGAATTGTTTTACCGATCATGATTTTATATATTTGACGTCACCCTGGCAGTAAAAATATGGGTACGGTAATACACTTTTCTAGGCCACATGTTCATTTTTAATCGTGTTGGAAAAACTTACAACTTTTTGTTCGGTGGTATTATCACCTCACGGTGACCTGCTACGATAACAAGCCAGAATTTTCACACTTACACTTTAAAACAATGAACCAGTTACCATGAGCACGATGAATCATCTTTGGAAGACAATGAGTGATGGTATGTTTTGTAAACAATTCTTTGTCTGAAACCAGGGTGCACAGGAAATATAACAGGGCGCTGACAATTTAAACAGGGCGCCAATTTCAGATAACAGGGCCCTGTTAAAACCCCTAGTGGAGAACCCTGAAGCACTGCTAACTGTCCCTCTCCCTTCTCCTTGAAAGAATTTGCTATAGCTCAGAGACATTCCGATTTATTAGTGTACGTGACACAATAGATATTAAAAGAAACATACAAATTCAGAATAGCTAAGGAAAGCAAGCCAAGTGATTTCTTTAGTAAGAAATGATACTAAAACTGCTGCTGAACATAAACTTTTAATTTTCGGTACTACTCATTATTGTGCAATGGTCAACTTTTGTGAAATGATTTTAATTTACATAATACAATTTAAAATTGAATAAAAAAATCAACATTTTTTATTTGTAAATGTAATAAAGTGTTTGAATACTGTGTACAGTAGTGTGATAGTGTGTGTAAAATGGGGTGCCTGATCTGTTTTAATACATTCATTCAATGCCTAATTAATATTCATGAATAAATTAGTGAACCTGTATAGAAAGGCCATCTGTCTATAAAGGCTAAAATCTCAAAGTCCCACGGGTGGCCACTATAAACAGGTTTGACTGTATAACTATATATAGTTCAATGGTAGCAGCTTGCGAATCCATAACTGGGGCCAGCAATTTTGCAATGTCACGTCAAAGACTTTTTTACCATCTTTCATCATCGCTATTGCATTTCTGTCATGAAAATTATTCTACTGTCGTTGGATAAAAAAAAAACTTCCTATTTCAAGTCCACCGCGATATCTATATACATGTACATGTAGTGAGACATCCCAACCGCTGGAACTTGCTGATGATAACTTTCACCGTGATTGCTAAGCGTTGAGTCTTGATAAGAAAGCAATGTCACGATTTGACCTTTATGATGAAATACTAGTAGTGATGTCATTCTTAGCCAATCAGTAAAGGAGATGCATAAAGGTCAAAGATGATTGCCAGATTGTAAACAAAAGCATCATGTGCCATCGCAGCAGAGTGACCCCATTTTTCTTGTCTCTTTATTGTGATTAGACATGAATGAAAAGTGCCAAGCTGACAGAATGCGAAATCCGTGGATTAAAAGTGCTAAGTCCAAATTGTGTGGGACGATAGCGACGAACTTCAGGAAAAAGTTGTAGGGATTTTGTTTCACGGCTACAGTGACGCGGACTTGGACATTGAAGGTTTTGAGTTTGATGAACGTACAAATAAAGATCTGAGAAGTTTTTTCAAACAGCTATGAATTTTTATAATAGATTTTATGACAGTTGATTCGTAATTTGTCGAGAAATCGAACCGGAAATCATTTTATGCCATTTAACCCCTGACATTTTAATTCATTTTGAGTTCACGTGTATCGGGCGTGTTTGTCGGCGGGAACATCCTAATTCAAATGATTCATCACTGTCGATTTTTATTATTTCTTGTTTATTTGTCTCATTATAAGCAGTACATTAATTTTGTTTTACTTCTAATGTTGCATATTGTTCATTTATTTCCTTTGCATGTTTTCATTTGCCGTTCTATTCCCTGCTGCAGTTCGATCTGCGTGTTGTCAATTTTCACAAATCCCCTTGTCAAACGCCCACCCCTATTTTTTGGCAATTTTCCATGTTCAGGACCCTGGGCTTATACCCGGGTAAACACGGTAAATACAAAAAAAAAGTTGCACTATGGCTTCCTGTTTAATGAACCGCTGCCAACTTTTCACTGCTTCAAAATTCTGTGAATAGTACCATGGGTATTTGTGAGTTTGTGGCTTATCTAATCACTAAGTTCTGGAGTTAGGTGGCTAGAAAGTAGGAGGCCAAATTGTGATTCTAAAAATACACTGTACTATACAGCTA